ACCCGACCCCCAACCAGTACCCGAACCCCCCCTGAAAAATAGAGGCCATGCGCCCCCCCCCTCTCTACCTGCCCCAGAGGATGAGGAGGGTACAGTCCAAAGTAAGCACAAGCTTACCTAAGGTTAATAATGCCTTTTGGCACGGCATGAAAAAAAACAACTCAAGTCCCCCATCGGGCGGTGGAGGACTTAGATCTAAGACACCCCAAAACTCTCCGGCGTGAGATCTAAAATGGATCGGACGGTGGAGGGGGGGGGGGGGTTTGTTGCTTGAAGTGGATCGATAAAACATAGAGCCATCAAAGCAAAGCTTATTACTCACGTCGAGCAAGCTGAACGACCGGACCAACCACGCAAAAACTGCGGAGCTAGATGTGCGGCACGCACAATGCATTGTTTTCGATTGGAGAGAGGCGAGTATAAAGCAGTAAGGAATTGTTGGCCAAACTTTCGGCAGATAGGTCTACTCGGGAGCGTAAGTGGGGTAGCAACCCATGGTGGAGCGTACATGAGAAGCTGGACGTTGGTGTACGCCCCATCCCGGCGTGTGAGTAGGATCTTAGGCTATGCAAGTCGTCCCTGAACTTATTGTGGTGAAAATGACCTCCCAGGAGTGAAGTAGCCTGTACCGTGGGATGTCGAAGATGATAAATTGGGTGGTCTGGGAAGTCTGGGTGTTTGCTAAGCAGAGCGCCCGGCACAAGACTGGGGTACTTGTGTCAGGAGGTGTGAACTTGGATCTAGACTACGAGCCTATGTTGGAGGCGCTATTTAGCGTCGGTGAGCCGGCAAAAGAACTGAAAGGAACCACAACCCCCGCCGGACACTCGGATTGGGAAGGCCGAGTATTCCGTATACCTTCCTGAAAAAACACGAAAAACAAGTGGCCACGGTCCAGTTGCCGTAGAGATCATGAGGATGGTGAAGAAGCCGGGAGGATGGAAGCAGAAACTGTGGAAGGGAGACAAGTTGGAGCTGCTGCTGTTTGGGATTCCAAGGGACATGACGAGGATAGAGTTCAAGAACTGTTGTGACAGAAGGGACTGCACTGCCTGGCAAGGGGACAAGTTGGCAGAGCATGACCACTTCCGGATGAAATTGACCAAGGGAGACAGCCAAAAG